CTATGAGGAGCATATAAAATTGGATGAAGTTACTAATTGCACTCTTAAATCCTTTTCGTTTCAAGTGATAATTTGGAATAGACGTATATACATAGTCGCGCGTTCAAGGGTTGAAGTATTCGTTAAGGAAGTATTTGAATCGACCGTGAGAACCTTAGAATGTAAGACGGTAACGATATTTAGGATTAATTTAATAGCATATTCTTCCTCATTACCTCAACAATCTTTGAGATAGTTCCTCCTGCCATTCAATGTAACGTGTCACTCGCTCGTAATTCGCTGTTCACGTAAATTATGAACATGATCTCGATCGTTTCCCCCCACGTATACGTCCGCTCGGAACTTTTCCAAAATATGTAAAACGGAAAACGAGTTCGAGCCGGGTTGTACCGTTCGATCGATGAAACTCGTTCGCTCGAATGTTGCTCATTCTTTTAGGCTAATTTTATTCGTATAAGAGACTTTTCAAAGTATTCCGATATGTTACACGTGATACCTACCGATTCTTCGATTTAAGAACTCTCTCTTAGGCGTACGTCGTAGTCTATCGATTATGTTAATAATTATTGCACGCGCTAACGCCGTGCAACCATTGTCACTTCTCGAACTACAGCTCTGTAATAAATTCCATTGTCATATTATACTGCTGTTTTTTGTTACTATATCTTCACATAATGAGACACGAATATTTATATATTTTCCCCCTCAATTCTACTAATGTACTGACTCATTCTATGAAATTTCGTATAACACCTTGAACCATGCACGAGCCTATAATTTACTGTCGCCGATGTGTCCCTTAATCCACGGTAATCAACGATGATTTTCACACCATATTTCTGGCCTCCCTTTTCCTCCCTGCAATCTCGTAACAATTTTTCAAGTAATACTTTGCATCCTCCGAGACTGTTCCCTGAAACGTCGAAGACGCGGAACGTACTCGATGGTTTACGATGCCGAGGAACGATTTATGCGCTCATTATCGTCACGCAGCCAAGCCGATAATAAACAGGTCGAAACGAGTCGATATTGAGCGATCAATTCACAATTCGCAAGGATATGGGACGAGACATCAACGAAACTTGACCGCGCGTCGATAATTTCCGTTCATAAGCTTTAATTCGTAGTTCTGATCGAATACCAAGACCACAATTTCATTCTGACGCGATGGAAAGTTTCGTTTAAGGCCTCGCGAAATCCGGTTAGATATTAACAGCAGAAAACACTGGACCTCTGTCATTAAATGAGATTAAATTCATGCATGAGACCGAGAGTGTCGTATATTATTTTCAAAGATATTTTAATGAAAGCAATTTTTCCGTTCCTTCCATTGTGTGCAAAAGCGATACTGGTATTTGATTGTATGCAACGTCTTTCAAAATAGAAAAGGAATTTCTCATGTCGATCATGGTAAATGTGTCAATTCCTAAGTCAAAGAGCTAATTCAGTAATTCAGTACACGTTGGCGTGTTAATACGGGCGAATCAGTCTCTAAGAAATAAGGACGATTACCGAAATATAAACGCTGTGTATTCATTTACCAGGAGAATACAAATAGAATGTATGTATAATAATCAATGTATGATATCCGTTGTATTTAAAAATTGTGAGCATATACCTATGTACTTTCTATATCATGGCTGAATATTAAATGAAATCCTACACGTAAAGATGAATAATGCATAATTATTATTCATAGTAAATTTTTTCGAATAAACGGGCTGCCATTAGACTAACAGCGCAACTCTTTTCATCATGATTTAATCGTGATATTAATTGCGTTTCATGATTCGGCAATAAATCACGCAGATCGATACACTGTTATCATCGGTGCCCCCCGGGTGACAGCCGCAATCGATACGAATTCAATAATTGCACCCGAGGATGCCTACGTCTTTGTCGCGATGAAAAACGTTAATAAATAAACCGGCAACTCGAAACCAACAATCAAGAATGCTAATTATAGATGAAAATTGTTCTTAATTCATGTCGATAAATCAACAATGGTTATCGTGAAATTTATTAGCTTCTCGTTTTAAAACCGTGAATAAATTCTTGAAGACAATTCTGTAATTATTAAACAAAATTAACAAATGCAACTCCCAAGAAATGTTCTCGCATTGCTAGTGTAATGTGATACGACAGCCTTTTTTTACATAAAAACCATCGCCTTATGCCTTTGAAAACCACCGGTCTATCATGAGTTTACAAAAAAATTAATATCCTCTTTTATCGATCGGTCCGCGTTCTCTCCGTTCGTTCCACCATGCATTCACGCTAGACCCGTGGCCATATTCGTCGGATACCTGGACGAATATGCGACGCTCTTTCTCCTGTTGCTCATACTAATCAACGATGTGGAGAACCGGTAGCTCCTGAAACGTTCGGAACGATACGTATTTCACGCTTGTCCGAATCACCTTATCTACTCCTTTTTATCCTCGTTCGAGGTTCTTTCTAAAGGTACGTTTTAACCAAACGAACAGGAATAAGAGAATTAAACTTTCGTGCGATTACAAATAACGGTAATCTCTAAAGTATTCTGGACATGGAATAATGCATTTACTGAATGTATACTTTGTATGTACATAGAAACAAGTTCAATTTTTTAATGCAATGTTCTCGTGGCTCTACTTCATTACATTAAATCTAATATCGATATTCTTAAGCCACATGATAATTAGAGAGAGAATACAAATTAATTATGCAAGGAGTTAGCAAAAAAAACGATGGTTACATTTAAATCTGGGGATTGAGTCAGTCGATCGAAATACGGCTTAAGGCGGTCGAGAACCCATCAGGTTCGTTAAATTTGGCCGTGGGCGATAGAAAACGGAACTCTTCTCGTGGATGGACTCAGATTAAAATATTCACGCGGTTAGATCGATAACTTCCCCTGGCGGGCCGCTTCATTATCCTGGCGCCAGACAGGACACTCCAGGGTCCGGCTCCCGCGTGCGTGTGCGTGGACGCGTTTCAGCCACGGGGGCAGTGAACGTCCTTGGTGTCTTTCTGGGGTCTTTCCTCCTCCGGGTACGCCACCTCAACACGACGACACATACCAATAACGTAGAAAGCGATGGGAACAGTGAATCAATCTGCAAGACGATTCGCTTTAAACAGCAAATGTAGTTTTTGTAGAATATCACATGTTTAATTAAAATAATTTATCAATTGCTTCTACCGTCATTCCTACAATATTAAACAACCTGTACCATTTCGAAAATCAATTCTCGACCAAATGACCAATCTTGAAAGTGGGCATTTAGGATCGGGAATTATCACCCCTTTCTTTCAATAATTTAATGTTCGTGCTAATGAACGTTAAGATGAATGTCACGCCTGAGTTATTTCGTAAACTATAACAGTAGACGTGTAGAAAAACTAACAGGTAAAGATGTACTGAATGTAAAAAGAGTAGTGAGATATCTGCAAAGTACGAAGAATTTGGGCTAAGAATACTTGAAAAATGGTGGTATTAATAAACAAGTTGCATACTGCGATGCAGATTATAGTTACGATTTCGTTTTCGATTTAGATTCTGATTTTAATGCGGATTCCCAATAAGAATTGTGGTGCTGATTTCGACTTTAATTCTAAAATGATTGTGGTTCGGATTTTAATTCCGATTCTGATTAAGATTATGGTTTCAATTCAGATTTTTAATTAATTTAATTTTTCGTGCCGAACGCGAGATACAAATGTTCACACTTCGTGCTCCTGGCACATCTGCAACCGAACCTGCTTGTCTGCAAGAAGCAGTGCACGCTTCTGGTAAGACAGGAAATTATTTTACCATGACGCGGTCGAGTTTCGGCAAAGGATCAAAAGCTTTCCTAGAGAAGCTGCCATCGTCGGGGAATAAACACTGCCACGCGGCTTCCCGGGTCCACTCGACGTTATCCACGCTGGACAAAGAGGAATCGGGATAACGTGAAGAAAGATGAGCAAATAGAGAGGCTGGGGGTCTGTTGTACAAATAATTGAAACACTAATCCCCTTTCCCGAAGTAGCGACGGTCGCCTTAATCACGACGTTTAGGCGTGCGTGTTCGAGAGGGTGTGACCCCGGAACGATATGCGGCCGCAAAAGCGGAAAGCAAACGCGACACGTGACTTCGCATGCGAACCAAACGCTCTTTACCTTTCCACCCCGTTTGCGACGAAATGGGGTGAACATATGGTGAACATCGTTTTTCGTTGATTGAAAATAGTCAGAGGCAACAAGGAATATAATTTTAACACGTTAGACGTTCAAATAGATTCTGCGTGTTACATCTTATGAATAATACACAAATTTTATTGATTAAATAAAATTAAGAGAAATGGATAAAGTGGATGTGAAATGTAATCCATGAATTATTATATAAAATAATATTGAATATCATGTATGTACGTTGTATTATAATGTATATTGTAATACATAAAATAATGTACTGTAGAATAAGCAGAAAGAAGCTAATAAAGATTGCTGGCATGGGTAAACGCGTTTTATCTCGTTGTCCTCACCTTCGATCTATTAGAATTTACATCCAATAGAACAGTCTC